GAAAACTAGGAGAACAGGTCCGAAGACTGCCCAAATCCGAAACTAGCAATGTTGGAATACTCGGCAACACACTAGAACACAAACACACAAGAAAACTAAAAGCTCCCAAGAGGAGAATGAGAGAAAACGACCCCAACAGGGTAATGCTCACTCACTACTCGGGCAAAACAGGGGCCAATGGCCCAAACCAAAAACACAAGACAGAACGACAAAACACAAGGCTAAACAGGCAAACTGAAAGACAAAACTAAAACTAACAACAAACTAAAAGAACGAAGCCCTCCCTCGGCAGAACATACGAAATGAACAGCAAAAAAATGCCGACTCCAACGAGATAACTGAAGCACAGGACCCACGCCCGCCACTGCCTATCGTCTAGCAAAGACGAGGACCCGCGTCCCGAATCAATCCACACAAATCGACCCACTCTCTAGCCGTAAGAAGCCACAATCGTCCTCCAACCAGCTAACACCACTAGCTCAGTCCGACACCGTCCCGAAGTCGGCTAACACCTCTAGCCAAATCCAGAAACGACCAGCCTCCCTCGGACTCCGAAATAGAGAACAAGGTAGGAAGAGAAACGAACGGCGTCAAAGCCCCACATGACCTACATAACCCGGATGAGCAACCCGCTTTTCACCCAGCCCCAAAAACCCTGCCCTTCCCCAGCTGCGACGAGATGCCGGCGATTGGAGGTCAGGAAATAATCCCGCCTGGAGTAAGAGATCGAAAACAGAGCAAACTTCAGTGCCCGGTGAGATGAGTCGCCACAACCGGGAGAGAAAGCAGGCGGTCCGAGCCACCACCATCTCCCGGCACAGTACTCCACCATTCCCCACCAGAAGACGACAGAGGAAGAAGAGCTCCGCTACCAGACAATGATTGTGCAGCGGAGAGCCATCCACCGACAGCCCAGACGGCAGTCGAAGGACACGCAAACTGGCGGAAGTAGGCGGAAGCTAGGTTTTCGGCGATTTGGGCGTTAGAGAGAGAGCGTCTATCTTAAAAAATAGTGATATATACTCTGTAGATTTTTGCAAAAAGTGAAAAAGAAAAAAAAATCCAAAAACAACAATCTATATCTATATCTATATATATATATAATAAGAATAACCTATTACTACAAGTAATAGTCAAAAATTTTGGGAGCATTTAATGCATATCTTTTTTTGGAAACTTTTTAAATATATGCATTAATTTGCTTCCATATACACACTAGTACGTACCCCGTGCGATGCACGGGACAGAGATATTAAATGAATTATTTTCACACCCTTGTCCTTTTAAGTCTAAAAAATAATAGGGTTATTATCTATTTTCTACCTCTTTTAATCAACGTTAAGTCTAAAAACAATAGAGTTATTATAAGTTTTTTTCCACATCTTTTAACCAGCATTATTTTTTTAGCCAGAACATTAAATATGAGCATGTTAGGACTAACTTGTAAAATAATTAATATATTATCTCACTAAAACATATATACTAATAAAAATTTAATTTTAGCATATACATTTATCCCTTGATATAAGAGAAAATAACAATTTTACTTATTGTTGTTCACAATATAATATTTAATTATTATTTTATTATAAAATAAAACGGAATACTGTTATAAAGTTATATGAATTGTTTTTTTTACTTTTAATATCTTTTTATAATTTGATAATTTAACTATAATATATTCTTAATGATATAATAATATGAGATACGGATTTACATAATACTATGGATTTATTCCTTAATGTTAAGATATTGAATTAGGTAATATATGATTCACTAATTTGTAATCTGTCTCTTTTTATATTGAAAATAATCATGTGATTGAGTAGAGATAACAATTATCTATAAATTCCTTCATTTAAGGAATAAGTTTTAAATTAGTCCAAGTGTTGAATGCAGCCCGATTTTCTTGTAACTACAATGAAAAGAGATTTTGAATTTCAAAATTTCACTTCAAAACCACACGTAAATTTGGATGCTGTTCGCTAATTATTTTCGCTATCCGCAAGTGTTCGGCGTAGCTATAGGTAGTGGCGAGCAAGGTCGTATTCCACAAAGATTGTAGTTAAATTAATTAAGTACTAAAATAATGACGACTAAATATTAACTAGATTAATGAATTGGATGATGATTATTAACTAAGAAATTAAACTAAGAACTAATCTAACATAAAATAAAAATAAAAATAAACAAAGAAACAAAAGGTAGATTCTAGGCTAAGCGTTCCTCGGAATTAATTCATGAAACGTTTATATTCAAACAAACCTTATTTAATTTTACCAATCGTAGAGATAATCGCTAAATTGATTTCAAACCTTTCTCTCGAACAAGTCAAATCGTAGATATTAATTGTTATCTATCTCCTCTCGGTCTCAAAATGAACAACTAACTCCCATAAGTTCCTAGGATTTTCGTTCTCTCGCAAGGTCCTATCAACCTCTCGGTCTGTTTATTCTCTTACGTTATAAATTTCCCAATTCTAGCAATCAATTATCTCCTCTCGGTCTCAAATCGATCACAAATATGCATTCATAGTGGCCATCTACTCACACAATAAAAATAAGCACAAGAAATTCATAAACGAAAGATAAACCGGAATGAAAGAAATAAAAACTAAATCATAAATTAATCCGAGTACTAACCAATCCTAGAATCTAATAGGTTTAGCTACTAAACATATTCTCAAAACCCAAAATAAATAAATCCATGAGTTCAATGAAGAAGAAAAAGAGAAAAGAAAGAAGAACTATTGTCGCTGTTAGTTCCCGAATCTTCAATCTTGACTCCCTCGAATTCCTCGTGTGTTTCGTGCTTTCTCTAGGCCTCCAATGGTCTCCAAAGTCCCAAAAACAAGTTCCTAAGGCCTCTTTTATACTGTTGGGTCATTCAGGGTCGAAAAAGGGAAGAAATCGCACAAGAATCCTACTCCCCGCAGATCTGGTATGCGCGTCACACAGAGTCGTGTCACATGCCACACGAGTCGTATGACTTTTCTCAACATTTCGGCGAACTTCCAGACTCACACGACCTGTGTGAAAAATCCGTAGCTGCGTTTCTTATTTTCTCAACCCACACGACCCGTGTCACTACCACACGAGTCGTGTGACCTCTTCTGCACCTGTTTTCGCCGTTTTTCGTCCCGATTCCATTTTCAACGGTTTTCCGGGCATATTTCCTGCAAAACCAACGACAAAAACACCTCTATCATAGATTAATAAATAAAACAAAATGGTGCACAATCACACGATAACCAAGGCCTAATATCACAATATATCACTCATAATGCATGAAAATATGATGAATGTCAATGCCCATAATTTTAGGTGCATTTAATTCTACCCTATTTTATGATTTAAAATATCTAAAACCTTCTAAATATGGTGTGCGATTAATTATGAGTTGACTTTTCTTCCTACTAATTCTAGTAAATGAGATGGCTTTTTATATAAGTATAGATTTTCAAATAAGATCAAATCAGATATGATCAAAAATATTGTTTCCTTAAATAATTTTATTAATATATGCAATAATTTCATTGATATCCATTATAATAAATTACAAGATTGATTTTCCGTGATTCATGTTGATAATTTTTTTGTCAAGATAAATATTACAATATATTTTAGGTTCTAACCATAACATTAATTTTTTTTTCCCACAAATATTCACTTTCATCCAAAAATATTTATAAAAATTCGTAATAGGTTAGGTAGAATTTTTTCTTCCATTTAATCAGGCAAAATCAAGTTGATGAATTAATCTTTGTCAATACATTTTTTTTTCTTAAGCTTTATTTCATTATAGATAAAAATTAAATCATTCTTCCTATTAATATAATTTACCACTTAATAGATAATGACCAAATAAATTAAAAAGTTTTATTAATGGCCAACAATTAAAATTGAAATATATTGACTGTTGTTTAGAATTTATTTGTATATTATTGGCAACCATGATTATTTTTTTATCATTTTTTTATTTTAATTTCTTTCTATGATGAAGTTCTTGTAAAATATATTTTTATTGCAAAATTTGCTTAATAAACTATAAATCCTTATAATGCAGAAAAATTTTGATTATAGAAGGGATTGAGTTTTTGGCATTTTCTAAATCAAAGTTGTTTAATTAGTATAAAAAAATAAATTCTAAAAAAACATGTGTGTATATTTTTTAAAATATTTATATACTATTTAATTTTAAATTTATATACTAACGTGCATTAATTATTTTTCATTACATAAAATAAAAAGGAAAAGAAAACGTACAACTTCTATAACTTTTATAAATAATAATGACATTATATGACAACAAAGTTTATAATAAAATAATAATTAAGCATTATATGGTGAATAAGAATAAGTAAAAATGTTATTTTTCCTTATAATAAATAAATAAATAAATACACTAAAAGCAAATTTATATTAATATAAATGTGTTAGTGAGATAATATATTAATTATTTTACAAGTTAGCTCTAACATGTATATATTTAAAGTTTTGACCAAAAAATTACGCTGATTAAAAAAGTTGGAAAATAGATTATAACCCTTTTTTTAGACTTAAAGTTGATTAAAAGAGGTGAAAATAGATGATAACCTTATTAATTTTTAGACTTAAACGGATAGAGTCTGTGAAAATAACTCATTTAATATCTCTATGCCGTGGTTATAAATAGTACTACCTCCTTTTTTTTATAAATGTCATTTTGGATTTATCAACAATTATCTAAATAAATGACGTTTTGAATCTTTTGTACATATTTTTTCATTATTACCCTTGTATAACTAATAAATATACTACGTCATTTCATATTTACTATTTATATTTTCTCAAAACATCCATCTCTATCTTCATTAATGAGGGATTATTGATAAAAAGAAATTATTCTTAATTAGTGTACAATTTTTTAAAATGATATTTATTTAACAAATGATCAATTAAGTTAAGATGATAAATAATAAAAATAGGAGGGAGTAACGTTAGCCAGGAAACGAAGAAAATGGAGAAGTCGGTCCAGGTGGAGAACGCGCAAGAACCTGACATCGTAACCCGTCTCCGTTCGTTTCACAGCTCAGCACATCATTTTTATTTTATCTTTATTTAAAAACTAAATTACACACCAAACCAAAAACACGCACGACGCTTTCCACTTTAGCAGCATTTAATTCAACATCTAACGTGCTTGTCAATTTATTACCCAAACCAAAATTTGTCACGCAATGGTGGGAGTGATCGGCGCCGCAAAAGCGACGGCGAATGTGCTGGAAGATCTGATAGAGAGCGCCGGCGGCTGCGCCGTCGTGGACGGGGGTTTCGCCACCCAGCTCGAGAAACACGGCGCCTCCATTAATGATCCTCTGTGGAGCGCACTTTGTCTTATCAAAGACCCTCATTTAATTAACAGGGTATGTCGACATGAATTTTCCGGTTTTTCGCTTGTTTTTTCAGTTTTGTTTTTTCTTTTCAGGACTTTTAACAAACATGTGGATGACTGCAGGTTCATTTGGAGTATTTGGAAGCAGGTGCTGATGTTATAGTAACGTCGTCGTATCAGGTTGCAGACTTTTCTGCTGTTATTACACATTGTTTTTCTAGTTTGATCTGTTGATTTCTATGGATTTCGGAATTTCAATTTGAAGAGTTGGATTGCTGTTTTACCCAAAAGTTTTATAATGTTTGTTTTGTAGGTTAATTTTTTTGTAAATCCAGTTCAAAACATGATATTATGGATCACATACTTAAATAATGCATTCTTTTATTATTATTATTTGTTTAGTTCTTACTAGATCCAGTTAAATTAATTATGGGACACATGATTGGAANTTTTTTAATAATTCTTATAATTACCATAATTATCCTAAATCTGGTGGCTTAATGACACTTATGTGAAGCCTAGAGATTATCTATTGAACTGTTCATATTTTCAAAGTTGGACTACAAAATTATGGAAAAGAGTTTCATATCAAGGTTTTTATCTGAAAAAAACAGGCGACTATACCAGGATTTGTATCCAGGGGATTGTCCACAGAGGAAGCAGAGTCATTGCTTACTAAAAGTGTGAAAATTGCCACCGAGGCCCGAGACAAGTTTTGGGCCTCGGCAAAGCGGAGATCTGTAGGTAAGTACAACCGGGCTCTGGTTGCAGCCTCTATTGGGAGCTATGGTGCCTATCTTGCAGATGGTTCTGAGTACAGGTCTGTAAAAGTTTTTTGAATTGATCATTTTAGGTTTATGTAGCTTTTNTTTTTTTGCCTATAAGTTGATTGAAGGCAAATGCAGTAGATTGAGTGTGTGGGGTATTATTTGTGTCACTACTAATTTCTAACAACATATCATTATTTGTGTTCTCCTTTTAATTTCGGGTTTTTTAGTGGGAACTATGGTCCAAAAGTAACTTTGGAGAAATTAAAGGATTTTCATAGGAGGAGGCTTCAAGTTCTTGTGAAAGCAGGCCCAGATTTGCTTGCTTTTGAGACCATTCCTAACAAACTAGAAGCTCAGGTATGCTTGTGGAATCATTCTTTTTTCTGTGTAGGCTGTTTTTGGGTGGAAAATATTTGGATTTGTGTGGAGGATTTGGTAATGGGTTTCAGGTGGAACAAGATTATGTTTTTGAGAATTTGGAATCCTTAAGTTCAGGCCTTTGAATCATTTGTATATATTGAAGGATTGTGTAAACATATGGAGGCTTATACCAGATAATTACTTCCAAATTTATTTCAATGAATTCTTTATAAATGTTAATTTTACTCATTATGTTAGTTGAGTTGATGAATATTGTTGATTTCCCAAGTTTCATGCACCTTATGTTGGAATGTGATTGGCAGGCTTGTGTTGAGTTGCTCGACGAAGAAAATGTCGAGATACCATCTTGGATTTGCTTTAGCTCTGTGGACGGTGAAAATGCTCCTTCAGGTGAAAGCTTTGAGGAATGCCTCGAAATAATCAACAAGAGCAGTATTGTACGCGCGGTTGGAATAAATTGTGCTCCGCCCCATTTTATTCTGAACCTAATCCACAGATTCAAAGAGGTATATTTTTCTAATCCAACACTTATTTAAATGTTCGCGTCTCAAATTATTTTCCAAATTCGTATCATTTTTTAAACGAAACTGATAATTGTGCAGTTGACTAGTAAAGCAATTGTTGTATACCCCAATAGTGGCGAGATATGGGATGGAGTCGCTAAAAGATGGCTGGTGAGTAATTTTTCTTGAATTAGCTAAGTTAAAATGAAAAAAACTCAATTTTGTGCAAAAGACTGAATAAATCTTAATTTTGTTTTTAGCCATCAAAATGTTTTGATGACGATAAATTCGAGATATTTGCCGGAAAATGGAGGGATGCCGGAGCCCAAATCATTGGTGGTTGCTGCCGGACAACGCCATCTACTATTCAGGGGATTTCTGAAGTTCTGAAGGAAGGAAAGTGGTTTTTAGAATGAGGCTATAGGCTAATTGGCAGAGTTGCACCTTCAGTGTTTTGGCCTTCTTTTAATCTGTATTGTTTATTTTGTTTGTTCGTTTGTAATCAATTTTCCTTATTTAACGATTTTGAAACAAAGCAACCTTATCTGTGACTGGAGTATGGACTATGGTCTCTGTAGAAACAGAAGAGTAAGATATGGACATCGACTTACACTTGTTATTTACATTTCGTAACTCCCTTTTACAAAGACACAGATGACTTCCATTTGAAAAACAGTGACAAATTTCAGACGTACTTATAATTTTGGATTACTGTAGTTTTGATTAAATTTGTCCAAATCTACTAGTTCTGAAGATAAAAACCCTTAACTATCAACAGACAAGAATTGTGTAGGGAATATAAACTCCAGCATAATTTAACTGTCCTAAAACCAAACGGATCTGGGCACTGGCTCCTCTAAGCTGGATTGGACATTTCATTGACTCCTCATCATTCAAATATTGGTGGACACAACTCTGTGAAGTTAACAACTCTTCTATCTCAAAAGACAGGTTGCACCTCACTATCTATCTGCTCTGGGAAATTTGGAAGGCTAGAAATTGCTGGACTTTCCAACAGGTCAAGAAACCAGAGAGATTTATTGTTCAATCAGCCCTTACCAACTGGGCTGAATACTCAGGCTCTTCACTCTCTTAAAACAATCCCCACTTGCTGTGGATTCTTCTTGCTGTTGGCCACCTTTGGGTGCTTATGTTCTTGTGTACTCTTTTGCTCTATGGTGTACTGCTTTTCTGGGTTGCTATCTTATTTGGATAGCTCTTGTGCTGTTGTGTTAATACTCTTGTTGAGCTGTTGATTGAAGTAGGATATGGTGTTGATTACTATTGTGGTGTTTTGAGCTTTGATGATGCTTTGAGGGTTGCTTGGGTGTTTCTTGTTCTGTATCTTGCTGTTTGTGGTAATTGAAGGCTGCTTTGAAATTGCTGGGCAGGTGCTACTAAGCTAAGGAGATAATCTGAGTTAATGTATGTGGGTTGATGTGCCAGGGCTGGTTCTTTTGAGCTTCATAGAAGATCCTTTCAAGTTGGATGCTGGTTTCTTCAAGATTCTGCCTGTGATCCCATTAGTGTATTAGCTCTTTTGCTTTATTATTATCTGTATGGGTTGTTTGCTCTTAGTTAGGTTGCTTTCTTCTTGGTCTGTTTTTCCTAGGATGCTTTATTTTGTTTTGTATAGTTGGTGTCAACTAGGCCATGTAGGGCAGTGGTTGTCACTTTGTTTTCATTTAGACTGTCGCTGTCGACAGCAGGGTATGGTGTCTCAACTCTCCGGGCTCATTGCGTCGTCTTTGCCAGGAGTTGTTCTCTATACTCTTTTTCTTAGTAGGATGTAGTGCACCCCTGGTGCCTTCTGTTATCCAGTTGGATCATTGTATTGGGTTCTTTAACCCACTTGTATATTTATTTTTCGAGGTATAAAATCTATCGTTTCGAAAANAGGGTTAATTGCCAAAAAAATCACAACCTTTTGCTTAATTGCAAATAAAACTAAACTATTTAAATTTTGCAAAAAAAATACAAACTTTTATTAAGTATTGCATAATTGTCTCAAAACTGAATTCCGGTGAAGGAGCGCTGACATGGCAGTCGGAAAATTGACGTGGCACCTAAAAAAAATGGTTGAACTCACCACCCATTACTTGCCCATTTCCCCCCCTCTCTCTCCATTGCTGAGAGCTGCGAGATCAATTTATGAACATCAAATTCAAAGGAAAAATAAGATCAGGGAAAAAGGGAATCGATAAAGTAATTCTCATCTCGCGATCCATGACAGTTTGAATGTTGTTCGTACGCATTTCTTCCCATAGGTTTTAAAACCCAGGTGTAATACCCTTGCCCTAACCTAAATTTCTCCAATTGGCCGCCAAATTGAAGATCAATCCAAGCTTGGGGACCAATCAACGGACCCTTTCTCGTCGAGATATTGTTATTCGAGGCTCGTTTCTAATTCCGTTCCGGATTCCCCAATTTATAATCTGCTCCCAATTAGTTGTTTTTCCTCTATATTATTTTTCTCTGTGTGTATAGATACACATACGGTTTATTTTTGTGGGGGAATTTTGATTTGAACCCAAATGCAGAGAGAGCGTCGACAAGGTGTCCTTGTATGAAGAAACAATTCACTCCGCCGGCAAGATTTGTATGGATTCGCCGTTATTGACCTTAACCATCGCCCTTTTCTTCGTTTCTTTCTCTCTCGTAGCTGAATCTCAGGAAAATGTGAGACCGAGCCCCCCACAGCCTGCGTTTTCCCAACCGCCGCCCTCTCCACCACCTCCGGCGACATCACCGTCTCTGCCGCCGCCGCCTTACACTACCCCTCCACCACCTCCGGGCGGCTGCT